CCGCCCCCGCCACCCGCCCGCTGCTGCTCCCGCTGCGCGCGCCGTTCTGCCGCACGCGCGATTGCTTGGCGGCGCCGCTCCGCCGCGCGCTCCGCCAGCTGCAGCTTCTCCTCCTCCAGCTGCTCCAGCTGCAGCTGCCGCCACGCCTCAAACGCGGCGCGCTCCTCCGAGAGCGCGGCCAGGGTCGCAGTGGTGTGCACCTGGCGGCATGGGTTGGGACAGGCAGTGGTGTGGTTTCTCCAGCAAACAGGGGACCCCGACAGGCGCCTCGCTGCGCTGCACGCATCAGGCTGAAGAGCGGGCCGCTGACGCTGGGGACACGCCTGTGGCATGCTCCCTCACAGCGGCCCGACGCGCACCAACCAAGCAGCGCCCGCGCACCTTTGGCAGCCACCGCAGCTGCGGCGCGCCCTCGACGCGCGTCCCCAGCGTTGCTGCCACCAGCTCGCGCCGCGCGACCCGCTTCGCGACCCGCAGCTCGAGCAGCTTCGTGTCAGCTTCCAGGTTTATCTCGAACAGCGCCCCGAGCTCGCGCTCGCGCGCGGCTCCGCGCTCCGCGCGTGCCGCCTGGAGCAGTGCGGCCGCCTCGGCCTCTGCGCGCTCCTCGGCCTTGCGGGCGGCCTCCTGGCGGCGCTGGGCGGCCTCTGTGGCGCGAAACTCCTGGTCCTCGCTCCTGGGGGGTTCCAGGGGGGAGGAAGGGGTGCAAGGGGGGTGATAGCCTCGCCGGTTTCAAGCGCTATGGCCCAATGAGTCTGGTGCGGCGTCAGCACGCCTGATGGCACAGGCGGAGCGCACCCCCAGGTGCGAAACCTGCCTCAAGGCGGGTGCCGGCAAATCGCGCATCCCCCTCCCCACAAAGAAAATACGTGAGCCTACGCCCATGGTTCTAGAAGGCCCCCTCTGAGCATGCCCCCCGACGCACTTGAACCGCTGCAGCGTTCCCATCAGCAGGCTACCAAACAACCGCCTGCTGCGCTTGACGTCCTCCGGCCGTGCCTGCCGCTTCGCCGGCCGCTCCCCGCCCGCGTCCCCATCGCCCGCCGCCTCGCCGTTGGCGTCGGGCCCGCCCTCCCCCCCGCCGCCCTCGCTGCCGCTGCGGCGCCGCTTGCCGTCCCCGACGGCCGCCGCGCCCGAGGGGACGCGCTGCTCGCCGTCCACCACCACCGCGGACAGCAGGCGCTTGCGGGCGCCCGACGATGCTGCGGGCGGGTCGCCGGCACCGGCACCATCGCCGCCGGCTGGGGCGGCGCGTGGGAGGTGGTCGTCCGCGCGGCGCCCACGGCCGGAGCCGTCGCGATCAAGGAAGCCCGGGCCCTCGCGCGACCCCAATCGCCACATCCCCGGGCCGCCGCCGCCGCTGCCGCCGGCGGCGGCGGCACCGCTGCCGCTCCTTGTGAGGCCGAGCTGCGGCGGCGG